TAAGCATGAACTGGCAACTGCTCTACAGCCTGTGAGAGGCTCCTAGCCTGCCCCAGAATATAAAAAGTTTCCCTGTTATATCCAGTGGGCTGGGAGAGAAGGAAAGAAGCCGTGGAGTTAGAGGAATTCCCAAAGGGCAGCAAATACAGAGAACAGGCAGGCACTGTAAAAATACACACACAAAAACGCTTCATTGTTTTAAAGGCAAAAGCCATTTTCTGTTGTCAGATGCAAGCAAACTGCATTGCTCTCACATAGAGAGGCTGTTGGCAAGAAATGAGCTGGCCCATGTTTAAAAGCATTCCAGGGATACTTACCCCCTTGGGAGACCAGAAACACAAGAGAAACCATTTACACAGGAACTGACGCTGGTGACCAGCACCGGCCTGAACTAGGGTTAAGCTCGTCGCAGAGCACAGAGAAAGAGCCCACCTTTATCTCCCAGAAACTTGCAGACTTACCCAGGCACTTTTGGACTGAATGTACCTACTGTCCATCTCTTGGCTACATTCTTGGCATGACTGCTGAAGAGAATGACAAGAACACAAGAGTGAGCCTTCCTAAGTGATATCTGGGGTGTCCTGGATGGATACCAGGCATGTGTGAAGGAAACACCATTTGGCTCTGCAAGTTTCCAGGAGCTTTATGACAAGCCAAGTTGCCTCAAAGGGCCTTGAGAAACTAACAAACACCGGTAGCAGCAGGATGCACCCATCAGCACAGTAAACAAGCGTGAGGGTCCCTAGCTCTTTCTGCTCTATAACCCCGGGCCATGACTGCATTTCTTAAACTGATTAGGAGCATAGCCATTAAGATAAAACTAAAAGGAACATAGACATTCTACACTAGAGTAAAAGACAAGCATAATTTATTTTTTTTTAAAAACAAAAAGTGATTTCTGGCCATCAGCATTCACGTGGAACCACACCATCTGCTCTGACACTCAGTGTTCCTGTAGGAACCCTCTTCCCCCTCACTTGCCCAAACCAGCCTGAGCGCTTTGGTCCTTGGGTCCCCACTGCCAGTTGCAGGCATCCATCTTCCATGGGTACAGCCATCTCCCTGGACTCTCCAGGTCCATGCTGGTGCACGGACAGCCCTGTTAGGGAAGAGGCATGGGAATGCCAGCAGCCAGAGTGGGCCATCACTTCATTGTTCTGACATGGAGATCCCACTAATTTTAAGCACATGTCGGATCTCTCTCCTTTTCTGCACATTCACCCACATCTCAATCCCTTAGCAGCACTTACATACATTTATATATAAACCCCTCCACGCTACTATTTCTGTTTCATCCCTTCCCTCCCACCTCATGAACCCATTAGATTTTATAAATTCTTTGAATTTAAAAAGCGTATGAAAAGTTGATCATCACTGTCTGATCCCATCTGCTTCTGCACATACATACCACAAGCAGCAATTTCCTTGTGAAATGTTCCTGCTGAACATTTCCGCAGTTATGTCCCAAACCCCACACTAATTGGCTTCTACACCTACAGTCACTCTTCTCCCTGCCCCCATTCTGTCTTTAACTTAATCGCTCTCCTTCATCTCGTTTCTCTTCCTGCAATCTCAAGCCAGTTTGGTGTGTGCCTTCATTTTGTATTTCCATTTCAGAAGCTCACGTTGTTTTGAACTCGGCATCTCTCTTTTCCCTGCACTCGGAGGGGAGGTGAGAAGGACCCAGGCCCATCAGTGACTCCCCGCATTAGGGAGCAGCAGGGCTGGGACCCCTCCATAAGAGCAGGTGAACCTGGAGCCAGGGATGGCAGTGCCACACAGCAGGACACCATCCCGTGGTGCCCGAGCAAGGCAAGCAGAGCAGGGCTGGGGACAGTAATGGTTTTGCCATCAAGAAAAAGCAAAGTGATAAGTCAGGCCCCAAGGCAAGCCAGTCACCAGGGCAACGACGTGGCTGGGCACAGACCCTCCTACAACACAGCTCAGGCCAGGAGCTGGTGCCCCAGCCCAGCTGGGAGCCCCAGAGGAGGGTAGGTAAGGCTGATGAACTGGCACTCTGCTCTGAAATCTGCTCTGCAGTGCCCTGCACAGCCACCACGCTTGTTCCAGGGATGGAACTGGGCACGACTCCAGCAGTTATGAGCAGCAGCAAATATGGCGCCTCCAAATAACTGTCTTAAAATATTGTTCAATTATAATTGGAGGAAAGCAGATGACGAGCGAATAGGGTTCAGAATTAGCTTTATCCTGCCCTAGTGCATCCACTGATCTAGGAAGTGCCTTCATTCCCAGGCCCCTGAACCTCTGGCAGAGGGAGAAACACACTTTCAGTTTTCTTCCTTTTCAGTCACACTCCCAGCTGTCCCGGTTTGAAGTAAAACCACACCAATTTTGTGTTCTGTAACTCTACATTTTAGCTAGGCCTCCTCTAACTCTCTGAAATTAATGGCATATTGTGGAGAAAACTGCTCATTCTCAGAATGATAAGACCAATGTTTCTGCTACGTGCCAAGGAATGGTATGCAGGGAGGCCCTTGCTTATACTTATTGCTATAACAACCAAGGTCAGCCAATTTTCATTACTTGCCCCTTAGAGGGTCAGAAACTGAAAAAATGTAGAGGGGTCACATCTGTGGGGAGGAACGCACAGGACAGGTGACCCAAACCTGACCAACAGGGGTATTCCATCCCATCTGCCCCATGCTCAGTATAAAAGCTGAGGGATCAAAGGGTCAATTCTCTTCCTGCAATGGCCGACGTCCAAAGAGGACCCTGTCAGTTCATCTGCCTTTGATCCCGATCCATGTGTTCCTGACTCCAGAGCTGGAATCCAGTTCCCATCCATTGCTGAGTCCAGTCTGGGACTTCCCCAGTGCCTGCCAGTGACAGGACTGTCATCCTGGGAGCTTGATACGGTTTTGTATATAGTGTTTCTATTTCATTATTTTCTTCTTTTAATATTAATTCTTCATTAAAGTAGTTTAGTTCATTCTAACCTTTTGAATCTCCTTATCTCTTCCTCTCCTCTTTTTAGGGGGGAAGGTCCATCTGTTGTTCTGGTTGCAGTGATTTTGGCTGAAACCATGACACCGGCTTTAGCCACATTTAAACATAATCCATAGATACTTGTTGTTGACTCAGCCAATGTGTTTGCACCTAATGCCCAGATTCAGTTTCCTCTAGACTTTAACATCCTTTTTGACAACCTCAGAAATATGCGATGAGGCATATTTTCTCCCAGCGTTTGTTTTCTCCTTTCATTTGTTTATTTAAATCTGCTATTACACTGAAACAGCATACTAACCATACTAACACAGTACATGCCTTTCGTAGTGATCAAACACAGAGAATATATTTATAGCTTTAGAGAGCAGCCCTAAATCCATCACAGCTCTCACCTCCATCACACTACATGCTGCCAATGTTTTCTTTAAAAAAGTGTAAGACGGGGAAGAAAAATTGTGATTCTTCTTTCCCTCTTAATGAAAATAAACCTCTATGTCCAACCTACTCCCCTTGATACTTCCCAAATGCTTTTGGGCAAGCAATCCTGAGCACAGAAGGCAAGCATCCAAGAGCAGAAGAGAAAAAATACACACAGAAATCAAAATAATAATAATAAAAAGTTTGCCTAATAAAACATTTCAGTAATCCTAAAGTGTTACCTCTTCCACTTTTAGCTATTTGGTCTGTAGCTGAGCTGCATTTTGAGGCTGCCTGTTGACCTTTCTCCCAAGTGTTACGAGAATTAGCTGAAAATACCCTTGGAGCTGACAGTGACTTGCAGGATTGCTGTTAGCAGCTTAATACAGGGCGCCAGAGCTATTGGCTTCTGTATGATAATAACGCTACTGCAGCATGCAACAAGGCTCTTTTAAGGCTTGCAGCAGGGCTTGCTACAATAGCACCCAGCTTTTGGAATGCTTTCAGTGTTGCATTCTGCTGTACGTGAAAATAAAAGCTCCTCCTCGCAGTTGGAGTTCAAATGATGCAGAAAGCATGTGAAATATCGCCGATTTGGTATCGCATCTGAAGGATGACAAGATGGCACAGTGGAATTGGTGAGGAACTCAAGAAAAAACCCGACAGATGGCTCTGGCAGGCAAACTGCAGTGACAGGGGTGAAGGTTTGACCGAGCCACTGCTGCTGACACCGGGTACGTCCCCCCGACGGAGAGCTGGCAGCGGCAGCTTGGAACAACAACAATAAAAAAATGCAGCAGAAAATCAGGTTGTAAAAGCAGGATGATGCTGGTAAGAGCATCCCTTACTGCACTGCAGTGACCAAATCCTCCGAAACGACAAGGTAGCCACGCCAGCCTTTAGCTCGCTTTACAACAAACCTCTCAACTTCTAATTGAGGGAAATACGATACAGAAAGTACACGCGTGCTCTCGTTTGGTTTAATGCGCTATTTGGAAGAGAAAAAAAAAAAAAATTACTGTTGTACTTTTTTCCATCCGGGCAGGAATCTGACGGAGGGAGGAGAGTATCCCTCGCAGGTATTTAAAAGCAAATCTATACCAGAGAGGATCAGTTGCCGTTAAAGTCATTGATTTTGAGAAAACGGGAAACGGGCGGCCTGGCAGCGGGGGCACAGACACCTAGCGCTCCGGGGGGGCGGCGGCCAGGCTAAGCGGGCCGGTACGGACACCGGCGAACCCACTTCTGTCTTTATTTCTTCCTCTCCCGCACCCCATTCTGCAAATCACGCCGGTGGAGCGCCTTGACCTCCGTGACGGCGAGGCCCGAACCCGCAACACCGGGCCGGGAAGCCCCCGCCTTGCGGCCCCCCGCGGCCTTACCGGTGACCGAACGCTCGGGGACTGCCGGTAAGCGCCGGCAGCTGGTGCCGTGCGGCTGCTACATAGGGCGGTGCCGGGCAGGACACCCCCCTGCTCCTTTCCGCTCCGCTCCCCGCCATGCCCGGCCCCGGCCTGCCCGGGCGCGCCCCCGCTCCCCTCCGCGCCCCAACCTTGTCCCTCCGCGCTCGCCGTCGCTCCGCAGCCAATCAGCGGGCGCGGCGCGGGGCGGGCGGGAGCGGGCGCGCGGCGGGGGCGGCCATGGAGGAGGTGTGCGCCAAGTTCGTCTCGCAGAAGATCAGCAAGACCCGCTGGCGGCCCCTGCCCGCCGCCGCCCTCCAGCCCCCCGACCTCTTCGCCACCGGCTCCTGGGACAACGAGGTTAGCGGGAGGGCCGGCTCGGAGGGAGGCGCGGCGCGTCCTTCCCCTTGAGGCGCGGGACCGGCGGCGGCGCCCTCCGCCCCCTCAGCTCGGCCTGTGGAGAGCGGGGCCGGAGCCCGCCGTGAGGGCTGCCCGTCCCGGCCGTCGCTTCGCTGTGCTTTGCTCCCTGTGGAGGGCGGCTGGGCAGGGTTATCCCGCATCCCCCGCTCCGTCCGGTGGCTGCGGCTTCCCCCGGAGCGGTGCGGAGCGGAGCCGGCAGCCTGTTGCTTTCCGGGGCTGTAGCAAGAAGGTGGTGACTGAGAGAGCTGGGGTGGTTCGGCCTGGAGAAGAGAGGGCTCCGGGGAGACCTCGCAGCAGCCTACCAACATCTGAAGGGAGCCTACAGGAGAGCCGGAGGGGGACTCTTTGTCAGGGAGTGTAGTGACAGGACAAGGGGTGACGGTTTTAAATTGGAAGAGGGGAGATTTAGATTGGATACCAGAAAGAAATTCTTTCCTGTGATGGTGGTGAGGTACTGGAACAGGTTGCCCAGAGAAGTTGTGGGTGCCCCATCCCTGGAAGTGTTCAAGACCAGGCTGGATGGGGCTTTGAGCAACCTGGTCTGGTGGGAAGTGTCCCTTCCTGTGGCAGGGGGTTGGAACTCAATGATCTTCAAGGCCCCTTCCACCTCTAACCATTCTATGATCAGTGCTAGCTTCTTCTTAGATACTTTGAAAAGCGTTTCCGAGTAAAACTGGTGGTGTCATTCCCATACAGGATAACAGGATCTCCGTTTGGTCCGTTGGAGACCTTGGAAATGCGGGCCTCAATGGTGAATATCAAGGAGAGCCTCAGCTGCTGTGTGACATCAGGCACAACGGTGATGTTATGGACATGCAGGTAAAATAGCTGTGCTGCAAAGATTTGTATTAAGAGAAATTTAGTGATAGTGAGCTGTCAAAATGCTGAGATTGACCAAAAAAAATTCTTAGGACGAAGGGCAAAACAAACCCATATCAGTTTGTGGGTTTGCTGGGTTTTTTTGCTTCTTTGTTTTTACTATACTTACCAATAATTTAGGTTATTCTAAAATCAGAATGGTACTGTCATCAACTAATAGCGTGCTTATTATGTCTCTTTAGTTTTTGGATCAAGAGAGAATTGTGGTGGCTTCATCAACAGGAACTGTAACTGTATTCCGTCATCATCAAAATAACCAGGTACGTAACTTGCTTTAAGCTGCTATTCTGTGTAACACAGGTCACTTTGATCTTAGCATAAGACTTCTCAAAACTACCAGAGCAAGACCAAAATGACTGTTTTTGAAGTCTGTTAGAAAAAACATTGACTTTATACATACAAGCAAAGAAAAAAGCATTTTGCACACATAGGACATAAATGAGACTCTAAAGACAGACAGACTGGGGCCTCTGCTAGCATATATCTGTAGCCAAATAGTCCATTCACTGAAAACATACTTTAAGAGTTTACATTGTTTTGGGAGAGTGGATATTTATGGACTTGTGCCTGCCTTAATAGAGTTTTTGCATTTTTGAACTAAATGACTCGCGTTGAATTTCTTCTCAGAAGTGTCATATGAGCGAAGATACGCAAACTCTGAAGTCTTTGATTATAAATCACTGAAAATAAACATGTAATGACTTCTTTATATATTCACAATGACACAGTAAAGGCTAATATCTGATATCAGTTTGATACAGTACCTGAAATAAGCTAAATACCTAGCAATCAGAATCTAAATCTGACCATGTACTTCATAAGGGTCTCAGCTCTTTTCCCTTGTCCTGTGGAAAGACTGAAGAGATAACACTAGTGAAAGACAATTCACAGTTCGTAAATAGAGTGTGTTCTTTCTGATTTTTTGCTCATGTGAAAAAACTGGCTCAGAGAAGAAATAATCAATGTTTCATCGAAGGGTTGTGTGCTTAAGATTTGAGGAAGATTTAGATCTCTGATTCTTATTTGTATAGAATATTCTTACTGCTGTGAGGTAGTGTGGTGTTCTTGGAGCTTGTTTTTGGTTTCTGGAAGCTTTGGTCTGTCAGGATCATTATTTAATAGCAGAATTTCATGTCCTGTTACTATTTAGACTTTATCTGCCAACCATCGGTGGGAGAAAGCCCATTATCATGTGGATCAAGACACATCTTGCAGTGGAGCAGCATGTACTGGAGTCATCTGCAACAAACCAGAAATTGTCACTGTGGGAGAAGATGGTAGAATTAATCTCTTCAGAGTTGACCAAAAGGATGCAGTAAGAACTATAGGTATGCCAGTTAACTGTTCAAGTTATTTTAGTTTGGAGTAGTTTTTTTGGTTTTTAGCTTCTCACATGATAACCACAAAAAAAAAAAAAGTCAGTTGAGAATTGAATTAAATATTCCAAGTTGAATGTGTTTGTTCTGGATTATTCCTATATTCCTCCACGCTTTAGATACCTGAATTGTGTTTCAGGTGCATTTCTATATTAACTCAGGTATTTGCAAGTTAGTCTTTTAACTGATGAAGAAGTTTCAAGCTTAATATTCCCTTTAGGCTTCTGTTTCATCTAGAACTGTTAAATGCTATGACAGCATACAAGAAATATGGTTGAATTTCAAGAAGTATTGTGTCCCAAGTTCTTCATAACTGGAGGTCAATGAAACCGTCATTTCAATTCGCTGTTTGTATTAAGATTAACCCTCGTAGTGTCCATATTCAGAAATGTGTAGTTCTGTGTCTAAAGGAACACCAAGAACCAGAACCTGCTGCTTGTACCCTATTCTGCCAGATATCATGGCTTACAATGATCATTTCTCCCTTAGTGAAAAAGCTCCACATTTCCTAGACTAATAGATCATGTGATAGAGTAGGATGTTTGTGAAAGGTGTCAAAATCTGGTTATTCTCTAGCTCATGCTAGTCTCATGGAAAGAGAAAAGCGAATACAAGTTTGTAGCATCTGTTGAAAATGAAACTTAAAAGTGGAAATAATTTAAAGGACAGTAACACCATGTTTTATAGTGGCATTAAACTGTGACTTTCTCCTGGAAACTTCAGTTTGACACAGCACCCGTGTTTCTCCTCAAGCAAAGTCTTGCCTGTAACAGATGAAGGAATTTGCACAGTGATAAGCCAATTAAGGAAGGAAGTACTCTGGGATTTCTAGAGGGGATACTTATGTGTGCACGGCTGTATGTACACACACCAGATAAATCCTATTAATTGCATACTGTCCTTTACTGAAGCTCCTTGAGAATTCATGTAGGAAACCTTTCTGTGCCAGCAGGGCATGAGATGCTCCTTTAGAATTCAAGTAGGAAACCTTTCTATGCCTCAAAAAAAAAAAAGTTGGGTAGCAGGGCATGAGGCAAATTTTATTAGCATGTGCCCCCAAAACACAGTCACTTCCACTTTGAGGGGCCAGAATCACAGAATCACAGTTAACTAGTTTAAAAGGATTATTTTATTGTAAAATTTTTACTTGTACAATTTTTACTTGTACCAGAATACTCTGTGTTAATATCTGTATTTAAATTTGGTAAAGAGAATGTTTTGCTGACTCACAGGGAGCAGATGTCCACCAAAAAAAAATCTGTATTTTCCTCTGGGCAATTGCTCAGATGCTTACACACAGATTTAATAATGTGCAGGATGCGAGTTGTTAGTTTTCTTAGTGCTCCCTTGATAGTACTATGTAAAAATACTTGCTTTGTAGTGGTAGCATCAGCCAGTGTTATGCTGCTGTAAGACTGCACTGACATTTGCTGGTGCATAAGCATTTAAGAAATTGAATGTGAATTAATTGAGAAATTTCCTTTTGGAAGGGAAATGTTAAAATAGGAATGGTCCATTAATAAGTCAATCACGCCTGTGACCTGGTAAGTGAAGCTTACCTGGAGTTGTGGAAGGGACTAGCATGAACTCATTAACTAGGGCTTATTCTACGGTAGAAGCTGGAGAAGGGGAGAGAACATCTTGGAAGATGCTTTCAGGTTCTTCAGGATGGAGTTCTATAGTGTGAGCAATGCTTTGTACTGGTTCCCAGTTCAATGACACCTTGACATTTCCCAGGCAGTGAGCTGAATCCTCAACATGGTTTAACATGAAGATAGAACTCTTGTGCCTTATGAAATATTTAAGGCTAATATACAAAGTTTGTATCTTTATAGTCAGTTGTGGTAGGGGGAAAAAAAATCCCTAAGGTTAGAGAAGATGTAAAAATCTTTTAGAGCCAAAAGATGTGTCATTGCTAAATCACTTACTGTTATTCTGTCACAAAATTTTACACCTTCAGTGAACACTTCAGTGTTCAGTAATCTAACATGTTTTTCAAAGGGGTTTTGGTTGTGGAGTTTTTTCCTTCCCCTCAGCTTTCATTTAAATAGTAGGCAGAAAAGAAAACTCATTCAAATATCTGTCACCAGGCATTGGTGTAACTTGTCTGCCTCAATAACAAAAAAGGTTTGCATCTTATGCAGGAAAAAAATCACCTGTATTTTCAGTATGGACTTACACAAAGAATATTAAAACACTTGAGGTGAAAGTAGACTTAACAATGTTACCCCGTCATAATCAAGATAAAAAGTTTATATCTAGTATCAGAATCAAAACGTAAGTGTACGGTGTCTATGTTGTTCTCTCCTGCAGCCTCAAAGGTTTCTCCTCCATGCTGTGAAATGTTTGACACTGTAAATTATTCTGACCAAAAGAAGCACTGGAGAAAAGGAGCTGAAAAAAGAGCTTTGTCATTTAGCTACTAAGATTAACAAGCAAAAGCATAATTCTGGTTTGGCTTTAGGGACAGGGATGGATGTCACGTTGATAGCTCTTGGAAGAGGTCTAAGGACAGTTGGTGAATTAAGTGCTTCTGTGTACAACTGCTTAATGCTCTCAGCTGGAGTTACTGTTCCTTGTGTTCACAAGAACTGCATTATGAGAAGCTCCGTAGCTTGCCTTGCGTCAGTAGAGGCAGTGCCTATAAAGAAAACTCATAAACCATGGACCTGACTAAATTGACTCCTCTTCGGAACTATAAAAAGAAATCTTATAGATCAATAGGTAGTTCTGTAAGCAGCCGAATTAAATATAGCTTCTTACAGATTTGTCCCTATATCTTTGATATAGGAAGCAAGGGCTCCTTTTTCACAGGGTACCCTTGTAGCACTTAAAATTTCACGTCACTGTTCTGTCTCCCTCTGAAAATGCAGAGAGGTTGTAACCATGTTTAAGTAGCTGTGTTCTATTTTCTAAAAAGAGTTTGGTTTTTTGTAATTAAACAGAGACTGGCATTCTATAGGCTTACCTGAATGCTTTCCTCATCTCTCTCGTGCAGACAATGCAGACAGCAGTACGCTCCACGCAGTGACTTACCTTCGCACAACTGAGATCTTGACAGTAAATTCAATTGGACAGTTGAAAATATGGGACTTCAGACAGCAGAAAAATGAGCCATCTCAAATATTTTCGTTGTAAGACCTTTTTTTTTTTTTTGGCATGTTTACTGAGAAGCATGTGCTATCTTTCCTGATACCTTCTTGACAATGGCATGATAAATTGATTATTTTTTTAGAAGGCTTTTAACTTCTGTGGTATTAAAATAATTGAAAGCAGACTCTGCTTAATGGCTGGATTACTGTTGTGGCCAAGCGTTGTGTTTAGGTGCTCTGTTCTATGATTTAAGTCTTGAAGGACAGTATTGCACCTGTATGCTTGCTCTCTTTTAAATAAATTTTAAAAAAAAGACTAACCTTCCACCCAGATCTCTTTCACTTTCCCTAATTAAATATACTTCACATCTATTTATCACAACAGGCCTAATATAATTTTTGTGGCTTTTGAATGGTAATTTTGTGCCTTATATGGTATTGTGAGAGAACAAACTGAGGTAGATTCAGGTTCTGTTGTTGGCTGTGGAGTAATTCCCATTGCTGTTCATAGTTTGTGGTTGAAGTACCTGGTTTTCGTAGTGTCTGGTCTCACTTTGTAATTCTTAGTAAGTATAGAAACTGTAATTATAACATGAATTTCAGGGTTACCTTATTATTATTATAGGTATATTTAGAGTATTATCGTTGTCTCACTGCTGTAAAGCTGTTGGGTACTGTGTAGATGCCCGTATACCATAGAGCACAGAATCTGATGCTCATCCAACTGCAGCTTCACGTTACTGCCACACCTCTCATTTCCAGTAGATGTTGGGTGGCTTCAGCCTGTAGTGACCAGACACGACAGGAGCTGAAGCTGCAGTCAGTACCGTTACCTTCTTTGTCAACACTCCTAGCGATTAAGGAGAAAATAGAAGCTGAATATAGAATTCATGTTTGGGTTGTTTTTTGTTTTATTTTTTCATTTGTAGTGACCAGACACGACAGGAGCTGAAGCTGCAGTCAGTACCGTTACCTTCTTTGTCAACACTCCTAGCGATTAAGGAGAAAATAGAAGCTGAATATAGAATTCATGTTTGGGTTGGGTTGTTTTTCTCTTTTTTTTTTTCATGTCTCCTTTGCAGGACAGGTGGCCGAGTTCCACTGCACTGTGTGGACAGGCACCCCAACCAGCAGTACATCGTGGCCACGGGGGGCCAGGATGGGATGCTGAGTATATGGGACATCAGGCAGGGCACCGTTCCAGTGTCCCTGCTGAACGCTCATGAAGCAGAAAGTAAGTATCTGGAATGGAGCGGGGAGAAGAAGGTGGCCTTTTAGAAAAGTTTCTAATTTCTGCAAAAAAAAAAAAGAAAAATATTAAAATAGGTGGTGTAACTAAGATAGAAAACAATTGCATAGTTGGTACTTAATGTGTTTTCACTCAGTTGGCTTCAGTTTGTTCCTTCTCTGTATATGAGACTGTTCTTACATAACAGCCAACTCTATATAAACTAAAGCTAGACTTAGTAAGCAGTTCTTTAATAAGCCATTAGATGTGTTTAATCAGACTATGTTTCTAGAAGGGTGGGAATATAGTCATACAAATTGATGCTGTGGTGTGCACAGGTATAGTAAGGCCAGAATGTGGTTACTAACAAAATTGAAAACATGAGGAAAGGGGAGAAAATGAAGATAATACAGATCTATTTGGTGACTCCACAAAGCTGAAACGGCTCACTTTCCTGGTAACTTTGTATGAACAAGATGGCAATTCATTTTGTGCTGAAAATTTCTTGACTTGATGCCACAATTATATTTAAGGAGTAAAAATATTTTTTGAAATGTTAAGTTTTACTGACTTAAATGTCTTTTCCACAGCTGTGGTATTTAGACAAAATAATGTCTCTGCTGGGAAGGAATGCCTGAATTCTGATAAAATTTTAACCTTTAACAATTTTCACAATATTGAAAATGCAACAAAATAATCTCTCTTCTCTCCCAGAGGAGGGAAAACTACAGTAAATAACTAAGGGTGGGGTTTTGGGTCTCCTACACTCATATACTTAAGAACGGAAGGTTTTGGTTGGGACCTGGGTTCTTGTAAGTGCACGTCCACATCATACTGCTGAAGTGCACTCAGCGAAGTACTTGATACTTGTTCTGAAGTGTTTTTATCTGGTTTTGGTTTGATGCTTCCAGTGTGGGAAGTTCACTTCCATCCCTCCAACCCCGATCACTTGTTTACATGTTCTGAAGATGGATCTCTTTGGCACTGGGATACTTCCACAGATGTATCTGAAAAACCGTCTTTTCTTCATCAAGGTAAGGATGTTTGAATTTGTCAGTTGGCAACATAATTAAGCTTCTCACATGACCCAATTAATAACACAATCCTAATACAGAAAATAAAAAGCTGGTTTCTTTGCTTAGGAAGAAAGCCCTGATAGGCATTTCAGGAAAACTACTTAGGAGGTTAACAGTTGTGTGAGTTTCTTGTGGTCTGTTTTATGGGTTTTTTAATTTTCTGTACTCTGTCCAGAGGGTGAAAGGGCACATCTAGTATTTCAAAGATCGTGTTCACTTAAAAATCAGCTGTATATAGAAAAGACGTGGAGGCAGCCTAAATGACACATTACTATTTGAGTCTCTAAGGGAGATAAACAAAATGTTATAGTACCAAAATAATTTATACCTTAGTAAGATAGTGGAATTATGAATTTACTAGTCAAGGTCATAATTGGAACTTTCAATGAATGAAATTAGGTCTCTTTATATCGTAGCAGAATTTTAATTAAAGATACGATACTGACTTAATATGAACACTCATTTTTCACATTCTAGTCTCAAAGACCGTTTAATTGCTTGTCACTTCAGACTGTAAATAATGGGGAAACTTTCAGATGCCATCTGCTGCCTTTGGCCTCAGAGCTGCCATTCAAAGCTTGGTTCTGTGTAAGGAAACACCAGGACAACAGATTCAAGTTCACTCTGTTTTCCGGTACATAAAACCTTTGGGACCATTTCAGCCACTTGTTAATTTTATGCTGAATGATGGTTCTCAAACTGAGACTTCACTTTGAATGTGAAGTGTTACATGGAAAAAAAAAAATAATCCAAAAATCCAGGTATATCCCTTACTGCAGAGTAAGTAGGGAGAAGGGATGGTAGGGAGTAAGTATTACTTAGGCAAAGCTGATGCCCCAAATGTAGCAAGACACCGTATAAACAGACTTTTGTTCTTCTGTCCTTACTTTAGTCTCTGCCTAGAAAAACTTGTAGACAGTTAGGCTTAGAAAAACTTGTAGATAGGCTGTTTGTTCAGCAAGATGTGTTCACAGCTGTACTGACCCATTTGTCTTAACTGAGGACAGAGCTGGTAGCAGGTTTCTGTAATCATTTCAAGTACTTGATTATTTTTTTTAAGCTATTTTTTTCCTTTGTTTACCAAAGAGACGACAACATCTGTTAACTAATCTGAAAACTGACTTAAATGTAAAATGATATTCCCATTATGTGTGTCCCATACCTACCATGTTTCTCCAAAATCTGAGAATATATAAACTAAATTAGAACTTAATTCCCTCTCTTCCTTCTTTCCCCTCTCCTTCTTTCAGGAGGAAGAAGTACAACCTATTTTCCCCACAATACCATTAACCAGTCTGTAGTAAGTGCCTGGCTAAGCAACGATCCTACCAAAGACCGCATGGAAATCACCAATTTAATTCCAAATCAGACTTTGTCTGTCAATAGTTTAGATGTTTTAGGACCATGCCTAGTATATGGTACTGACGCAGAGGCTATTTACGTGAACAGACAACTTTTTGCATGAAACCCACTCCGGTATCCCTTTGAAGTACTGAGCGCCCTGAACTACTGGGAAATGTCAGATTAATGACTTTAATGACTTTAATCTGTTATCAGCATGCGGGGGAGAAGCCTACAGCTTGCTGCTGGTACTGCAGAAGAAATGTAAGGTGCCGCAGGTTCTGACAGCTGTCACTTGTTATTAATGTCATTATTGATGCTCCGGGATGGGTAGCTGAACAAACTTACATGTAAGCTTGCTCTTGCTGCTTCCTCGGTACCGGTTTGGTTTTGGTAAGCAGGAAGGCAGCCACTAGGGCAAGGTAAAACTGATGTCCATATACACTCACGTGCAAAGGGAAGAGAAAGCAAACCCCTGATTTTTATTTCCTCATCCCCAAAGGTATTTTTCAAGTATTAATTCCAAGGCCAAACTGTGGGGTTCTTTGAAATGCTTTTTATGTCACCTAAGAGAGAGGTTTTTTTTTTTTTTTTTTAAGCCAAATTGTTTTTATATATTTAGGGGAACATAACTTTTTATTTTAATTCATGAGAATTGGAACAGAAAACTGCTAAGCTGTAAAATGTGAAAGGTTCTCCAGGAATCTTAGCATTTTAGTAACATTATTTTGGATTATTTACAGCTTCATCATCAACACTGCATGTTAAGACTCGGTAACGCTCAACAGAAAGGTGGTTTTTATAGTTAAGATGTCATAATTGACAGATGCGTTGGCTGTGTTTTTGGGTGTGAGAATAACTTTCTAAACTTGAGACATAGCCTGTCACAATCAAAATTTTGCATCTGGCCTGTTGCAATCTTGGAAATGGTTAAATTTCATTATTAGTGTTGTATCTACCTTTCATTGCAGAGAACCCTTTCTCTTTTTAATAAAAAGTTTTGCACAAGAAGACTGGTCTGACTTACTACATTAGTTTGAATAGATGTACTCATCTTTGCAGGAAGGCAAATAACTTGAAGTTATTTGGTCTGATCCTGGGGATGCAACCTGAAGGGTGGAGGGAAACCCCTGGATTTGGGCAGCAGCAGATTTAAGTGATAAGGTTTTTACATGACATTTTATATCAAATCCACTTTAGAATGCAGTTTACTCCCACGTTGGCAAAAAAGCCTTCTTGGTGTGCTGTGGTAAGACCATTGTACCTGGTGTGAACTGGCCATGTGTAGGGCTGGAGGAGGTGGATGGTGGCAGGATGGGACGGGGCTCTCCTCCCTCCCAACTGCAATGTAGGAGCTCCCCAAATTTTGCTTCCCAATTTGTTTGAAATGCAGCTCTCTGCTAGAAAAGACACAGTGGGTCAAGATCCATCTCTGAGCAATAATGGAATTTTTAATTTTTTTTTCCTGGGAACTTACACACCTGGGTCAATAACAGCTCCTGGGGTCACGGAGACTCGGCAAAACTCCTTTCCCCATGAGAAATCTATTGATATTTATCCATCAAATAGGCCACGGAAGGGAAAGGCGCCTGGTTTTTGTGGTTCCCCCCTTCAGGCCAGCAGCCCGGGGCAGGGGCCTGGGCCCGGCCGAGCTCCCCGATCCCCCGGGGCAGGGGCCTGGCCCGGCCGAGCTCCCCTCATCCCCCGGGGCAGGGCCCGGGCCCGGCAGCCCGAGCTCCATCCGGGTCGGGGCGGCGGGGGGGAGCGCCGTGCGCGCAAGGCAGGCCGGGAGCTGCCCATATCCGGGAAGCCCTCCGCGGCGGAGACACCGACAAAATGGCGGCGCCTAACTGAGAGGCCCCTGGCGGCGGCGGCGGGCGCTGGCGGAGGGACTGAGGAGCCGCTGCCGGCAATCGCGGAGGGCCGCGGCGGTCGTCGTCGTCATCGCCGCCGCGCGGGCGGAGCCGAGCTCCGGGCGGCCGGGCCCGGGGCGCTGCCGCCGCCGGGGGGGGGGGGGGGGGGATACGGTGAGAAGCCGAGGCGCGGCTGCGGCGCGGGGATGATAACGAGCCCTCTCCGGTACGGCCGATCGGGGGCTCCTGGGCGGTTCTCGCCCCGCCGGCAGCGGGAGGGACGCGGCCGCGGGAGGCGTTGCCGGCTCCGGTTCCCCCGCCGGCGGTTGGCGCCTCCCAGGGCGGCTTCTCGCTCGCCGGGGAACGGGCTCCTCGGGGAGGGGAGATGGAGCCGGTGCCACCCGCTCCCTCGGCGCGGCCGGTTGGGCCCTTGTGCCGGGCGAGGGTCTTGCCGCCCCCGCGGTGGTGCGGGGGGGGACACAAGGCCGAGCCCGGGGCTGGCCGGGCGGCAGGGGCGCAGGTGTCCCGGTGCGGTGGGATGGGGTCGGGGTTGCCGTGGCTGAGCCGTACCCAGCGCTCACCCCGGGCCTGAAACCCGCCGGGTCTGCGGGGGGGGTCCTTGGAGCGGGGGGTCCCGCCGTGCTGTAGGAATTCCCTCGCCCCTCTCTGGGCCGGGGCAGGTTACACTTTGGTCCTCGGTGGCCGTCCTGGATTTCCAGGATGTCTTGGAAATGACCACTGCTGATCCCGAGAAGAACCGGGAATACCTCTGGGTAAGAAGAGCTGTGTCCTGTTAAAGGAGACGGCAGAGCCTAGGAATGGAAACAAGCAGAGCGAAGGCACAATGTTCCCAGTGTGCAGCTACCCTCTGGTCATTTCCAGCTCCTTCTTCCCCAACACACGGAGTTGTGTTTATTTACTGATTTCAGGGCCTACTTTTCTCCTCATTTTATGGAAACTTTTAGCATCGGAAACTTTCTTTGACAAACAGCTTTATGGCTCGATGACCTGTTATCTGAAGAACAGGTTCCTTTTGTTGCTCTGAACCAAGATCCATCAAACGTAATTCTTGATTTCATATTTTTTCCTAGTGATGAAGTGTTGCGATTACATATAAAAGAAGTTATTAGAATAGGTACAAAAATAGATTAATATGTGGCACTGAATGCTTAATGGAAAGTATAACTACTTAAAAGTATGTTCAGAACGTTTAGAGACAAGGAATGTTACAGATCTGCTACAAAGCTGTGCGTTTTTTCCCCAGAAAAACTTGGAAGTCATTGACAGTTGCATCCAACCATTGTGTGTTTTCATTCAAATGCCTATTTTAAAGTCATATCTTTCACAATTATACTGTAGAAAAACAAGTATTTTTTTCCTTACAGTTTTACCTGTGGAGGAAAATACTTTATCCCCATTAAAAATATCCCTTTTTTAAAATCCCCATATTTTGAAAAGAAGAGAAAAAATATTTCTTTAATAGGGCAGTGGAGAACTTCGTCAGCAGAAAACAGCTGCATTAACAGATCTATCATGTAAATTTAACGACACAAAACTGCAAGGGGGAATAGATGTCAGTTCCCTTGGATACAGTTAGTGTTTGCTAGTTAGAAGTACAAAATTAGTTTTGAGGTAGTTTTGACTGCTCAGTAAGAAACCTTTCTTGATTTAAAATGTATATAAATGTCTGTAAGAGGAGTTGACTCCTGAATTTTGAGGTTCATACATAAAGCAAGGTGAACTGTAGTAATGCTTGATTTCTTGTACGTCATTAAACCGGAGGATCAATTTAATTGGGTTTCTGAGCAATTGAGACTAGTTTTCACTACACATCCAGCTGCTGTTACCCATCCCTGCTGCCAAAAGAAACAACCCACCAAAAAAAAGTTACTATTTATCTGGGTAAGTTCCATAGCTTGATTGGCTCTGTGTGGCCTTGCAAACAGTTGTGCTGGTGCTAGCAAGTGGTGGGAGATAAGTGGACTAGCTGGTTTACACTGGTGAAGCTCTGCTTCTGCCACACAGTTGCATGAAAGTGCAGCTTTATTTTCCAAGACTGCTTAGCCCATATCCTGTGATGCTGCAGTTGCCAGCAAAATAATAGCTTTGAAACACTTAGAGCATCCCTTGTCATAAGGTTCTCAAAGCACTTTAGAAAGAAATACAGTTATCTCAGTTTTGCACCTAAAGAAATGGGAGCATCGGCTGATTTTCCCCCCACCAGGTGGTAGACTCTAGGTCTCCTGATTTATGGTTTAAGTGTCCTGTTAATTTAACCTTGATTTCTCTTGGGGGTGTTACCTTTGTTTCTCTCAGTTACCTGTAGTGTAACCATCATGTGAATATTGAAATACCAGATTAAATTATGGTAAAATACATAGGTGCAAAACAACTGTTTTCTCCGGAATTCCAGGCCTTTGGAACTTCTTAAAAGGAATAGCTCGTGTATGGGCATTTTCTCCTTCTGTCATTGGTGTATGTGTGACACAAGATCAATACTAACTTGCATTTATCTAGGTTACCCTTTCAGTGGTGAAATAGTCGTTACTCCTAATTTTGACTGAACTTGAACAAGTAATCCAGATTACTTAGACTGTAAGATGTTTAGCCTTGTTGTCCTGTGTTTTGGGATGAGTTTATGCTAGAGGTTTCACTTTCCTGGAGGTAGTGATTCTTTCAAGTGCTATTGGCATATATCCTTGCACCTGGGTATCCAGTGTGTGTTTTTTGAAGCAGATCTCTTGGAAAGAAAAGGAACATTCATAGCAAAACTAGTAAAATGGTCTAAATATAGTTAACTCCGTTTTCTTTGGGAAGTGTTTTTGACAAAGTATTTTCAATGTGGTCTTAAATATGGCATGTTTTGAAAAAGATGTTGAAAGTGGCCAAAATTAAATTACATTTTAATTGCTCTCAGACCGTCCTTTCTGCTGAATCTAGATTTCTTAATACTTGGGGCCAAATTTCTCTGTTTATTATTAAAATTAACCTACAAGTCTGATGATCTTTTGCTTATTCAGTGACCACTGAAGAATTGAATGCTCTCAGACTGCAGAAAAAAAGTTTTAATATAACTACCAAATTACATTTATTTAAGGTTTCAAATGTGTCACAAGGCAAAGAAAGCTTGTGGGTGCACTTATAACACCTAAGATTTAGATAGTTCTAGTAGAGAACTATATTATTTTTTAAGTGAGAATCACAAGGATAATTTGATTAAGTGAAGCTCTTATTTATGTATTACCTCAAGCTTTCAGACTTTACTCATGTATGGTTAGCATGTATATTTAATTCATATAATTTGCATGTATATTAGAGGATTCTTTTTCCTATTAATTTTTTGTCATATTCTTCCTCAATAGTGGAATCATTAATTGGTTTATGACAGTGTAAATGTTGTAGAACTGAAACCTGGATGAAGAGTGAGTGACTTTTATGTGTACCATTTAAAACTTAGACACCTGTTTAATTCATCTCTTAATACGAGAAACATTTATCTATACACTGCTTTCTTAGAGACAAAAGATGCTTACAGACATCTGAATCCTCAAAAATAATCCTTCAGAAAAGTAGGAATGAAAATTTTTAACTTTGTGAAACAGAAACAAGACAATAAGAAGATTTCACTATTGCTACTACATTGCATTATAGTAAAGGAAAAGGGTGAGATGAGCTTTAACATTCTTCTAGTTGCCTGTGAAGAAAAGACAGCGCTAAAATACGGAATTTTTCTATCTTGTGCTATCTTTGTAAGTGATCTTCCTCTGGGGACCAGTAAAGACTGCAAAAGTTTTATTTCATGGTACTGTAAAGAGGCAAGTGCTCTGTAACTTCTTCAGTGTTTGACTTCAGCTGCTATCCTTTACCGTACCAGTTATAGTAGTTACGGTGCTAACTAGTGCCCAGCACGGGTGCAGGGATTTGAGTTCTCTGCAGACATAGGGTTCTTTCCCTGATGAGTCAGCTCCTTCAAAATGCAAATGTTATTTATTTGTTTTTGGCAGAAAGTTCTGTTTCCCTTACCAAGTGTCACAGCTGTGCTCTCAGTGAATTTGTTGCCTGAGTTGTTAAACAATTTTATGGTAAAAACGTTTGATTAAATTTCCTTTGTTTTCTTTTCCCCTCTGCTCTCATTTTCCCTTATGTAAAATAAAGTAA